TGAAAGCAGTATTCTCGTTAATAGTATATCACAATATGTCGCGTAAAAACTATCATCGTGGTAACGACACGAACGAAGGATAGAAACGATTCATCGATTTATAGGAATATTTTAAATAGAATATGTGAGATATACCATCATTACGAATTTTTTTTTTATCGACGGAACATATATACGTATCTATGTATGTATGTAAAAAAAGAAAAATAGAGAAGTCTCTAATGCATAATGAATGATCAACAGTTTCTAATTTTTTTTACACAAATGATACATGTAGAGCGAGTAGTGTGTATTGATTTGTGGTAAAAAATAATGAAGATATGACATATAAAGCTCGAGGTAATTGGCTTCCTAGTTAGGATCTATCGAATCTTAGGATTATATGCGTTAACGAATGTAAAAGGCATTATATACAAAAAAAAAAAAGAAAAAAAGAAAAAAAAAACAAAACAAAACAAAACAAATATTAGTAGGCTGTATATAGCCGGTGTATGGTAGAAAGTTAATTAAGTATCGATCGTCTGCTTAAGAAAAAGCCAGAAATATTGTGTCTAAAAAGAGAAGAACTAGGAAAAAAAAAAAAAAAAAAAGGAAAAAGAAATAAATAGAAAGAAAAATTGAATGACCACATCATAACGCGAATATACGCGCGTAGAAGGATCTAAGAGGAATAACTTTCTGGAAAAAGGATCGAATCGTTTTCTAAGAAAAGAATTCCTGAAATTCTTCTCCTTCTTCTTCTTCTTCTTCTTCTTCTTCTTCTTCTTCGATAAAAATCGATCATTTATATTTGCGTGTAATCACAACGGCGTGGATAACAGGGTATTATCAAAATGACGTACGTCAGCAATCGATTATTAGAAAGTCATTAGTAATTATAGTATCATATGTGCGGTACGTATTTGTTACTGAAAACTTTGTAATACCTTCGTTTCCTTGGATGTGACATTTGTTAGAATATTATTTCGGAGACGTTTCTGACAAAAAAAAAAAAAAAAAAAAAAAAAAAGAAAAAAAAAAAGAAAAAAAAACTCTTAAGGGTTCTTTCTTAATCAGGCTATCGAATAATCGTTGAATGTAATAAATTATTAACAATGTCTCAAAGCTTACACCTCGCAGACACGCAGCCTCTGCCACTACTGATTGTATGTAAGGAGATTATACATATACGTGAAATAGACTAAATGATTTTTAATTAATTATTTTTAGAAGGCAAGTGTGTTACTATAAGCCGCCCAAAGGTGAAAGAAAACCACGCTGGATCATTGATTATAGAGAGAAAGTAAAATGTAAATGCTTTAACATTAAACTTTTGGCCGAGTAGAATTTACTAGTTGTTAACTAGCTATCACATATTCCGATTATTCAAGTAACAAAGGGACGATTTGTACACTCGAATCTATACTCGGCCAATAAATCCTAACAGAATATACAGTCCTGTCGTAAAGAAGGCTTTAAAGTAAACCACTTAGCGATTTGTAACTGATTGATATTTAAAGGTAATATGTAAATTGAGATGAATCTAAGAGAGGGAGCTTTGAATAGTGCCTGCTTAAAATCCAATTTACTATATCTGATATTATTAGATATGGTACTCACATTACGACGTAATCGACAGATTTAATAGAGAGCTATCGTAGCGAAGTATGGGAAAAAGTGTCATTTATGGAATACGTTCGTTGTTTTAAAGTCACAAATGACAATGCACAACGAAATACATACATAAATGTAGCAGCTGTTTATATTATATTTATGGGAATTCGAAAAAAGCAACGTATCTCTGATATAGAGAGATCGTATCTAAACTTAAAGATACGTTAGCTTTAACTTACTTGAAAATAAGTTTGTACCTTAAGTCAAACTGTTGTAATGGACATTTTTTAAATTAATACTATGTGAATCAAAGACACATATACAGGTACATACGTACAAGCGCATTCATACGTTGAAGAAAAATTATTTAACTAACCATTTTTGCTTTCTTCCATGGCTTCTACCAACAGAAACCACTCTTCCCCATACTGTACTATGAGTTCGTGTTATTCAATACCCTTAAGTGTACATAAAACGTATGTGGCCGTAATTGTATGTAAATACTGTTACACATTCTATGATTACCATGAAATATGAATACAAGGAAAATTGGTTATTTAGTATAATTATGACTACGAAATTTAACTTACTTTTATCTCAGAATCCTCCACTTGCAAAATGGTATCCAGAATTGCAGCACCTACTACTACCTGTATAGGAAAGCAAAAAATAATGATCCTACAATAACGATAATTCCTGTATTTATACAAAAAAGAAAAAAAAAAGTATTTATAAAGTTTACTTTATATAGATATATAAAAAAGATGAGACTAATATGAGTGATACGTAATAATGTAAGTGTATATGTTTAAAACTTACAGGACTTCTGTTAAATGCTGGTAAGTGTTTGGAATGTTGAGATAAAGTAGAAGCTTGAGTTCCTTCATACAGATATTTTGCTACTTCTGCTGCAACTTTAGCATTATTTTCTATAAGTGCAATATCTGCAATTGTAAATCTTCAATGAAACCCTTCGGGACGCAACCTTATATTATATTTTACAATCTTATAATTATTATTAATCTACATTCTATCATGTATAACTTACTAGTCTTAAGAAACTTGCCACTTGTTATTTCATTAAGTTCTTTCAATAATAATGGTGTAACGTTCTTTCCTTTTATACGCATACGTTTAGCCTTTTCTAAAGCTTTACTTATTTCTATTTCAACTTCATTAGGATTTAATGCATGCTCTTTGGGAACAGAAACAGTTAATAATATGCCTGTAGAAAGATTCAATTCTCTTTGTATTCTTACAAAATCTGCTGCATCTTTAGAATTTGTTACTCTAAATGGAGCTTTTATTTTATCATATGTTTCAGCACAATAGAAAGCTGGGAAATTATAAGTATGGCCAATATTTACAACGGGTACTCCTTGAGTTTCCTAAAAACACAAGAAAATAATATTTCAATTGACCAATAGGACAGAAATTATTGTTCATAAATATATCAAAAATAACTAACTAGATATTCTAATGTTTTGTCAATATCCAAAATAGATTTAACACCGGAACAAACAACAGCAATGGGTGTACGACTGAGTTCTATTAAGTCTGTACTTATATCAAAGGTAGTTTCTGCTTCTCTATGTACACCACCTATACCACCTGTAGCCATAACTGGTATGCCTGCTAAATTTGCTATAGACATTGTAGCACTGACTGTAGTTCCTCCATTCAATTTTTGCAATGTAACAGAGGATAAATCTCTGGCTGAACATTTAATAGCAGAATTTGTTTTAGACAATATTTCCAAGTGTTCATTATCAAGACCAACGTGTATCTTTCCATTTATAATTCCTATTGTTGCAGGTACTGCTCCCTAAATAAAAAATTTCAAAATTTAAGTAACAAATATCAAATACAAAAACAAGTATCAAATAAATTATTCATATAGAAAGTAATCTATTGAAGCATAGATAAATCACTGAATCTTGAATTGCAAATATAAACATTAATATTTATTGAATTTCACAAAGAATCAATTATATTTTATAGATGTCGCGTGTGATATGGTTAAAAAGAAAATAAAGAAAAAAGAAAAAAAAAAAAGAAAAATAAATAAGTCTTGTAAAGCGAATGTATCGCTTTTTACACACACTTGTTTTCTCACAGCATCTTCGACTTTAATTGCGGTATTAAAGTTTTCAGGAAAAGGCATCCCATGGGTTATAATGGTTGATTCCAATGCTATTATCGGTTGGGAATTTTTTTTCCCTGCAATCACGTCCTCCCCATAAATAATATGTTTGCATCGATTCGTAATTGATCGAGAAGAAAGATCGTTGTTTAGAACATCGATTTTTCTCAATTTTTTCCAAAAGTTAATGAGACGCATGACGTTTCGAATAGTTTCGAAAACGTTTTTAATCGTTGACACGGTTCAACTTAAAACTCTAATGAACTTAAGAAAGTCTAAGAAAACGTCTTTTATCTTAGTATATATTTTAATTTTTATCCAATATTATGTTTAATATTATCGTTCTATGCGTTTTTATCTATTATGCAAGGACATATGCACAAATGCATTGATCCATAAGAGAGAAATGATAATATTTATATTCAATGTTTCACGTATGCATGCATAGTAATGCATTGAAACTATATACAGTATAGAGCGTGTATAAAAAAAGCAGAAAAAATCGAAAGAAAAATCCACGGATAGAATTTATAAATATATGTAAGTAATTATTAATAATAAGTATTAAAGATGCGTTTCTCGATGAATTTTCTTGAATAAAGAAAAAATAAGACGTCTGTAAAAACGAGCCTTGACAAAGTTGATTTTTGTTCACGAGCATAAATTAACACATTTATTAGTATATATAGATATGAATCTGACAATGTTGTTTCAGATGAATAAGCAAAAACAGAAAAAGTCAAAGAAAGATAAAAATTTCTATGTTGCCTTTTTTATTTTTTTTCCCCCATTATATCATATCGAAGGCAAATCTAACAATGCGACATTGTTACACTTTTCCCTTTTTTTCTATCTTATCAATGAAAATTAATACAAAAGTATAAAAAAGAATAAAAAAAATATATATACATGTCGATGAGTATTGCTTGGTGAGTATTGCTGCGAGAAAGACAAAATTTATTTATTTATTTGTATTTTCTCTTTAGAAAAAATAGATAGATAAAATTACATGTATAACATACATACATATATATATATATATAAATCTCTAACCCTAATGGTGCTCTAAGAATACTTCCACTGGTTAAAGTCCATAGAAAAATATGCATTTGTATATAAAGAATCATTATTATAAGATTATTCAAGAATTTTGCATGTGAAGTAATGTTTGTGGTCATTTATTTAAAAAAAATAAATCTTGATTACTTTTTTCTTTAATTTTCAATTATGACTTATCAAAAAACAATTTTTTTTTATATATTAGTAATTGTTCTGCAATGGAACTACATTCCAAAAATCATGCTTAGTCATATTCTATACATATGAATATACGTAATCTGAACTTTTCGTTATTAAGAAGTGACGTTCTTTAGTTCGTGGACGACTGCAAGCAAGATAGCAATGACAACTCAACAGAAACTTTATTTGTGCATTTACAATGCAATAGAAGTGTTAGGGTAAGTATAAATTATTATTATTTTCTGTTAAACTTTCTTTTTTTAACTTTACTTCTGTTAAAAAAAAAATTAAAATCTAAAAAAGATGTTGATTGATAATTGATTTTTATCAAACGATATCTTGTATCAATACAATTTCCAATTACTATTATTATTATTATTATTATTATTATTATATTAAATAATGTATTAATGTTTATTCTCTTATAAAATTTCATTACAAGTATATTGAAACAAAAGTTAATTCTATTCATTTTACAGTTGGTCTTGGATATTATATATATCGATATCTCATTATGGAGATAGTTCATCAAATATTAAACTTTGGAATAAAATTTGGGTTCCTTTATTTATTTTTCAAAATTCTGCTTATCTTGAGGTAATTGTATAAGAAAAAAAAAAACATTTTTGAAATATTACTTATTATACTTGTAAAAAAGAAACATTTGATTGTTTTGTAGAAACATTTAATCTTGTTTTTAGGTAATACATGCTATAACAGGATTAGTTCGATCCAATCCAATGATAATACTGATACAAATTTCTAGTCGTGTATTTATTTGTGTTATATTATTGTCATTACCATCGGATTCCATTGAATCATCGATTCTTTTACCATACACTTTCATATCTTGGAGTATTGCAGAAATCACTAGATATTCTTATTACTTTATGAATCTTATTGGATATATACCATATTTTCTAATGTGGTTGAGGTAATAAATATTATATTTATTTTTATCTATAGAATTATTTTTAACAATTATGTAAAATAATTTGAATTTGTTTAGATATTCCTTATTTGTGGTACTTTATCCAATTGGTATAAGTGGAGAAGTTCACTGTACTTATAAAGTAATTGTTTATTCCATGTCTAATCCAAAACTATGGAGTTATATATTGCCTAATCAATGGAACTTTACATTCAGTTTTTTGTACTTTGTAATAATAGTCCTAATAATGTATATTCCAGGTAAGCGTCAACATTATATTTAAATTATTTTACCTTTCTTTTTTCATTAATTCATGTTTCTTATTATAGGTTCATTCATATTATATAAACACATGCTTTTACAAAGACAGAAAATGTTAAATATAAACGTTAAAGCAGAAAAAGTAAAATAGATAATTTTTGTTATTTTATTTCATAATATTTAATATGTCATACTACTTTATACTATATTGTATTTCTCCAAGATATTGTAATTAAAACATAAAACTTTATAAAGAAAAATATCCTTTTAAGAGAATAAATTAAATTTAATTTGAAGGGTTGGTTTAATAAAATGATGCTTTTAATAAACAAAATTTATTTCTTATGCATGATCACCTGTAGGTACTGATTTTATGATATCAGAATTTCCAGGATCTGTAATTGAAAGGGTACAAACACGGAAATACTTTCCACATGCTGTCCCCAACTCAATATTATTTCCAGTATAGTGATGTACACCTGTTTTTGCCAGCATAGCATAGTACTCGATCTCAGATTTCCTAATAACACATACAATTATTATTTTACAGAATTTATTTCATTGTAATTGTCCACTGTACTTACAAACAGGGACTAGAGACTACTCCGTAGTTCTCCTTCATTATTTTTTATATAATTGAACAACAAGAATTACAAATTTCAATGTTTTACTAATAAAATAATAAAATTTCATGAATGGCTTGTTCAATGAGTATAGAGAAATAAGTATCAATTTGTAACTCCTGTTTATCTTCTTTTCTTTCTTTTTTCTTTTTAAAGGAGCACTACATCTCAGTCTCACCTTAAAGGAGGAGTATTGTTTGCAATTATGACGAGCTTAGCTTTGCCTTGCCGAAGAGATTTCAGTGTCTGCTTGTATCCCAATACATACTTGCCCGATTTCATAACAAGGGCAAGCGTATTGTTTATGCTATCTTTGTCCTTTTTCTGTTTAAATAAGTAATACAATTAACATTTAGTTATTATTTCTTTAATTAATTTTTGTCTTTCATTATATATAATCAAATATAGGTTAAAAATATGCCAACGTAACCTCATTAGGCACAACCACAAAGAGAGAGTTCCTTACTTTAACGTGTATATAATATTCAAAAAATCTTTATAAATATTATAAGAATATATTTAAAAATGTTTATGAAAAAGCATTAAACAAAATAAATTCATTAATAAATTATATGATCAAAATTGATAATAAAATAATAATGTGAACACGTGGTTATTAAGAATTACCTGCTTTCTTTGAGCAACCATTTTTGCGATTTATATGTACTCGAAGCTAAAAAAAAAAATATTTAATATTATTAATTATTATTAATTAGACAACGAAGAACTTAAAAGTTTATTTAAGAAATTATCGGAAAATTTTTACAAGCACCATACCTTCGAAAGCACCAAACGTGGAAAGAATGAGATACAAGTTAAGAACCGAATAATGTTTCAGTCAGTGCCATCTATCTGTGCGTGTGCAATCCTCGAAAACAATTACTTCCGTTTAGGAGCGAATATACGATTTTTTATCTTATCAATAATAATATGTTAAGAAATTATAATTATCAATTGTTTATACTAATATTGTTTAATTTATTATTTTATTTTTACTTATTATTTTATTTTCAGGTAAAATAGATCGAACGATATCGCAATGATTAGTTATAAGCTCTTTATTTATATTTAAAATATACATTATATTCAATCCTATTTATATTGCATATATAGTTTAATCAGAGAAATATTGAATAAAAAAGCTTTGAAAAATGTATTTAAATGGAATGTAGAATCACTATAAATGCCAAGCAATATAATATTGAATCCTTAGAAAATTAATAAATTATATATTTTTTTTGGATATAAAGCATAATAGATTTACAATATTTCTTATAAATAAATAAATCAATTCTAATATATATATATATATATATATATATATATATATATTTAATGGTTTTTATGTTAAAATTTCTTTAATGCATTTCTTTAATGTAGACATTGCAAAATTAATATCACTTTCAGTCAATGATACAGAAACACAAAGACGTAAGCTAGGTCTTTGCAGTTTATTTTCTGTTTCTAGATATGTAGGACTTATTATAGCTAAATTATTTTCAATGCACCTTTCAGAAATAGAAGTAAGGATTTTTATTTCTTCAGCATAAGCTTTCTTTTCCTTCAAATATAAATGTTTTAAAGGAGATTCCACAAAGCTTGGAGTTTCAATATATGGCATTTCTTTAAGAGCATTATCTATGGTTATACACTTATCTTTCAAAGATTTAAATATTTGTGGATTATTTTCCATTATATTTATAGCAGTTATAGCTGCTGTTGTTAAAAGTGGTGGTAAAGATGCTGAAAAGCAATAACCGAGGGCACCCAAACGTTGATGTTCAACGATAAAAGTAGTACCAACACAAAATCCACCAATAGATCCTATGGCTGTTTCTAAGGATCCTGTAAACCCAACGATAGAAAATATTTAAAATATTTAATGTATAGAATGTATGAAAGTAATCATATAAAATAATGAACAAATTATACTTACCCATAATCAAATCAATTTCATGTCTAGGAACACCAAAATGTTCTGTGACCCCTTTTCCATAAGCACCAAGAGTACCAATTGATATCGATTCATCAATGAATATTCTTAATTTGTATTTTTTACATAATGCAATTAATTCAGGTAGAGGGCAAATTTGTCCTGTATACAAATAAATACCTTCTATGATTAAGAAGCGTTTGATTTTAGCAGCTTTAGGATTTTTCTTATCCTTTTTCTCCTGTTCTAACAACAAATCATGTAGATTTTGTACATCATTATGCTTAAAATATTTAACTGTCGACCTAGAAGCATCCAATCCTTTCTGTATGGCAAAATTTATTTTTTCATCAGCAAACACCAAATCATTTTTTTTACAATATCCAGGTATGGCAGTGGCAATGGTACTGAATCCATACGAATATACGATGGCTTCTTCTGTATCCGTAAATTTGGCCAATCTTTCTTCCAATTCAAGATGAACATCAACAGTCCCATAAAAACCACGTGGTCCACAGGAACCTACTCCGTACTTTTTAATAGTTTCAATTGCAATTTCATTTATTTCCTCATTTTCCGTTAGGCCCAAGTAATTGTGAGTTCCTAAATTAAGGCAATCTTTGTCATTGACTAATATTCTTTTGCCAACTCTGGTAGACACTTTTAAAGGATGTAAAGAGGGATGATTAGGATCTACTTCAGGCGTCAATGGTTCAGGTTTCCATTCCAATAACTTTTTCTCCAATTCATCCTCCGTTAGAGTTACATTATCTCTACGGTAAACTTTTTTGACAATAAACCATAAGAACAACAATACTGCGAATACTTCTAACAAAGTATAATATTGCGGTATAGTACTGAGAATCTCCATTGATTCTAGAAATAGGAATTTGGAACTCATTTTTGTAGATAATTTAATTATAACTTTTATCGTATCATTTATTGTGTTTTCCAATTTAACGATTGCCTATTGAACGTATATATCATAAAACAAAATGCAGCACTGTTTCTTTTTTTCTTTTCAATAATTTTAAATAAATTTAAAAATTAGATCGTATCGTAGAATATTGTCCGTATTTATCACCAAATTCTTTAATAAAAATTTTAATGATAGGTGGCAGTTAGATATGTTATAGAAAATACATCTAAATAACCAAACAAACTTAAAGACAGAGGAACATATAACTATTCTTTATAAGCTTATTTTTTTCATTCCAATAACTTGAAACGATTATGACAAACTAATACTTATCGGATTAATAAATGATTAACTATATATATATATATATATATATGAAAAAAACGAATTACACATCTGTCATAGAAATGATCTTTGATTTCATAGCCAATCATTGATGTCGTATTATCGTCGACCAATCCCAGTGCGTATACTGTTTAAATCTTTACAAAAGCATTGAAAGAGAAAAAAAAAAAGAGAGAAAAGTAAGATTTTTATTAACAGTTTTTTTTTTTTTTCTATTATTTTTCTGTAACAGGTTTTTGTAACATTCGCATTAAGCGAGTAAAAAAAAAGAGAGAGAGAGAGAAAAGAAAAAGAGGAACGATATTTTCAAGCGATGCTTACGTTCGATGTGAACAAAATAAATAATCGATATAATCTTGATGTTCGACTTATCGTTCTTCGGAATTGGAAATAGAAATCGTGAAGATTCGAAGATTAAACGTGTTCATTCGGACGGTGAACTTTCTCGTTAGGAATAGATAGGAAAGGTTGAACGAAACAAAAAGAAAAAAGAATTAGGAGAAACAGAAGCAGAAGCAGAAGAAGAAGAAGAAGGAGGAGGAAAAGGAAAAAAAGAGAGAAAAAAACAAAATAGAAAAGGAAGAAGATCGAAGGGAGAAAGGTTGAGTAGAGGTGTGGAGAGAGGGAGAGAGAGAGAGAGATCTCTTCATCGGAGAAAGTGCATTCTATATTTCTAGCGTTGTGATTGGTGGTATCGTCGGACATAGTAAAATTCCGATCTCCTCTACGTACATATATCGAGGACGCGTTCGCTGAGTTAGAGAATAAAGGCGCATGTGCGTAACGCTGACATTTCCAAAGGCCGGCTCGGCGCAGTGTAACGAGAGAAAGATAGATAGATAGATATATATATATATATATATATATATATATAGAGAGAGAGAGAGTCAGTACTTCCGGTATCCGGCAAACGCCCCGAGAGTCTCTACCTAGAGTGTCCAGCCATCTGGACGCTTTTTTTTTCTTATACCGGTAAAGGTCGCGTACGCGTCATTGTCAAAGAGTATTATCGTCGCTTCGATCGCGTGGTGGACGCTGCCTATTTCGTGGCTAGTAATATACACGTTGTACGAGAGAAACAGACAGAGAGAGAGAGAGAGAGAGAGAAAACGTACGTACATATTTTCAATATAATATAATACGAACGCTTTTTTTTTTTACGATTAAAAGAGAGACGATAATAAACGCGATGCACGCACGCACACATTAACGCATACGTACGCGCACGCGCTCACGTCCATATAATCGCCGCTACGTTATACACGTATACGTATGTATGTATGTATGTATGTATGTATGTAAGTAACTACGTATGTGTCTGTTTACACGAATCTCTTTTATTCATCCTTACTTCCTTATTCGTGCTTCGTCGTATTTTTTTTCTCTTAGTGATGCGAAAAAATAAAAAAGGAAAAAGAAAGAATACGCGCGAACTCGAACGAACAAGCTCCCCCTTCAATTGGCTTCATCGAAATCCAGTAGAAAGGGGTTAGAAAACGCTCGTGTTTATTCGTCGCGTCCCTCTCACCCCTCTACTCGACCTGATCAGCCCTTCTCCTTCCCCCACTCCTTTCCTTATCTCCTTTACCGAATATGTATATAATATATACGTATGTGTGTACATATACATACATACGTACGTATATACATACATGCATACATATATCACGTTCGCGCGTGAGTCATCTATCGCACCTGTCATTCCGACAGCTGTTATCATTTTATTTGCCGATTTACTAAGAACACGCGTGATTACAGTGATTCGATCAGTATGTTAATTAGAAAATAGAGAACTCATTCTAGAAACTCTCTTGGCGATCTTTTTCATTAATTCGTTTAGAATTAATCCTAAAAGAAAATATGTGTAATTAATCGAAATAGTTTTCTAATAGTTTACTAATTGTCTAGTTTTAGTTGGAAACATTTGTAAAATAAACATTTAGACCGATAAATTCCATGGTTTCTCGTCGACCGACCAACCAACCGACCGACCATCTCCGTCCATCGTTAAATCTCTTTTTGCTAAGTTCGTTCGTTCGTTCGTTCGTTCGTTCGTTCGTTCGTTCGTTCTTCTTTAAACCGATCGCCATATTTGTGACTAACTTCACGGCGCGACAAAACCAAAAACGATTTGTTTTTCTCTCTATAAATTATATTCCAATTAATAGATATTTGTTCCAGTTAATAGATATTTAATTAAGTGCGTAATTTTTCTTATGCGTCTCTTACGAAGATAGATTAGACGAAATTATAGTATAATGTTCGAAGACCGCGCAATTTTTTGTTTCTTGTCGTTGTTTATTTCTGCTTTTTTTTTTCTTTCTTTTATTCATGAGAAATAAAAAAGGTAGAAACGTAACGTAGAAATGACATTATCAATAATGACAAGTAAATGATTTTCCAAAGAAATGTCTAATAGTATCATTATATATCGTTAATTATGATGCACCGATGGACGATGCAACGACGTATGTGTGCGTGCCTGCGTCTAACCTTTATGCGCGCGAAAAAATATCTCTTTCAAATTAACATACGAAACGATCACAATCGTTATTACGAGAGTATATTTGTATTATTAAGAAATTACGATATCTAGCGAAATGCATGCAATTATTTTCATTTATTCGTTTATTTATTTATTTTATTTAATTCATTTATTTATTTATTTGATCTAATGATTTTTAGAGTACGCTTTTTTGGTTGCTTAGTGTGCTGCTTAATATCGTTTCGATTCTTTTTTCTTTTTTTTTTTTTATTTATTTTTAATTCGTCGAAGCTTTATCGTTGTCATCAATTTTTCATTGCTTATATACATACATGCACACACACACACATATATATATATATATATAACTTTGTAAATTTTAAATAAAAAAGAGACAAGTAACCCGTTAACTACATGATGTACTTTTAAAAGCATTTTGCTGTTATCATTAAGAAATGAAAAAATTTGTAGGTTATGTTATGTAATTTAAAAAGCCAAAGATACATTATACCCGTGTAGATACGTGTATCTCGCAAAAATTTGTTCTCAGCTATATAGAAATAATGAATTACGTTTGGAACTATTTCAGAAACATCATTTATATGTTTATGCTCATTCGCTAAATAAATTATTCACAATTGCATTAATTTATCCAATTATACATTTCGCACATTAGTGCTTTGAACTTATTTGCGAGGATTGTATTATTCCATCGTAAACTTCTATTCCATTAGTTTTATGAGAATTTTTAAAGAAGCTCGCAAATGCCGTTAGAGTTCACTGTTATCTACACGGTGTCTTGCGAGAACAAGATCATCGCTGTATTCCATCATTGCTTTTCGTTCGCTTTTCTAATACATAAGAAGATATTTTAATTTGAATAGTTATTACGATTATATCATCAATCGTTAATGATTTAATTTTATTACTTTGTTTTTTTTTTTAAACTTCAATTTTGTGTCAGATTGATGTTAAGAATTATTAACTTTTAATAATTTATATTTCGATAAATGATACTAGTATTTTTTTTATTGAAAATATTTAGCTAGCTTATTTTATATCGATATAAATAACAGACATTATCGTGTTTTGTATTGAAAAAAAGAATTGAATTGTATTGAAAAGAATTGTATTGAAAAAAAGATTCATTTCATTTACTGAAACAATTCTTATTATTTAATAACTAAATAAACAACACTAGTATTTTTTGTATCGAAAATTCCGACTGTTACCTATTGGCCAATCCAATATATTCGATTAGTTCATTCATTTAATCGAAAAAAAAAAAAAAAAAAAAAAAAAAAAAAAAAAAAAAAAAAAAAAAAAAAAAACGAAATAAAAAAGGAAACAAAAATATGATCGATTTTATCGAAATCTAATCGTCGGAATATATGGCTCCTATCTTATCGTAAGACACTCTTGTTCATTTTAACGTGAATACGGCCCTGAGATTCAGAGGTGAGATTAGAATTCAATCGTGAAAACTTGACGAAGTCAGTCGCTTAACATCCTTCATTAGTCACGCGTGGATGTTCTCCTCGTAATATATTATTATCATTCAAATTTTCTTTTTCTTTTATTATTATTATTATCATTATTATTATTATTATTATTATTATTGTTGTTGTTGTTATTATTATTGTTATTATTTCTTTTTTTTTTTTTTTTTTCTTTTCGTAATATCACAATTTGATCTAGTCTTGCTGTGATTAGCGTTATCGATTGGACGAAAATTTTTGTGAAATGCCGCACGTAAACGAACTGATGCAGAGGAAGGAATCTCGGATGGTTCCGGAAACGTACAAGAGCATATTGAATATGTGGCAGAATCGTGAGTGCCGGATTTCCGGATCCTCTTTATTGCAATTTCATTGAAACCAATCGCATAAGCATTTCATTAAAGGCTCATATCATGAAAATGCATGTTATTATCTGACGAGAGAGAAGGAAGGGAAGGAAAAGAAAATAAAAGAAAAGGAAAAAGAAGAAAAAAAATAAAACAAATATTATAATTTTAGCGGAACAAATGAACTACTAATTATCCATCCGAATTATTCAATAGCAATTAGTACTAAAAAAAAAAAAAAAAAAAAAAAAAAAAAAAAACAAAAAATATTCGTTTATAATTTCTATCCTCTTATTTATATATTCCATTAAAATTCTACTTTTTTCTTTTTTTTTTTTTTTTCTTATCGTTTGTTACGCTTCTTTATTTTTTATTTTTTTTTTATTTTTTTTTCATTTTATGCTAAAATAGTCTAACTGTAAAATAGCTGATGCGAGTTGAAAAGTAGCGGGATCGCGGATGTATGTCACGTCGATTCGGATAAACGGTGATCTGTTAACAAACGACTATTTCAAATGATTACATGATTCATACATGTCCTGTGGAATAATATGATAATTGATGAAACAAATGATCGTATATGTCTAAGCTCTTGATTATTCTCTGAGCTTTGGTGGAACATTTGAAAATTTTTAAATTATTTATACAAATTTTCTAATGTTATAGATACATGTGTATATAT